TTTCTTCCATTGTACAGCTAAAACAGAGGATGTCATTACAATGAAGCATACCATTTTAAGGTGTTAAATTAATACAATCATTATAGTTTTTATTTTAAGTCAATTTTATTAAAAGTAAAAATATCTTTATTTAATGTAATTTCAAAATCTTACAGTCGTTTGCAGTCTTCTTAACATGCAGTTCTTTTGATTATTTGCAGAAGTCAATTATTTTGTTCCCATGAAAATGTAGCAGAACCTCATTTCTCCTCATCTCCTTCACTTCACAGAGATTATGGGTCAGATAATGATGACTTTAACAGAAATTACAGGTAAATATCAGATATTCTACATTGTTTTCTGACTTACCTTTTTATTGTAGTTTCCCAGCTAGAAAACACAAATTACCTTCAAAGCATGAAAATCTATGTTAATATATTTGCTTAAATGGAGTTTAAGCCATTGAATCTGAGCACTGAGCAGATAACGTGACTAATTTGTGGTTCACTGATACTGACTTTTGAGAGGGATTATTGTGCGAATCCCATGATAAGCACAGTTCAAGCTAATGCACAACAGAATATGAAAAGCCAGTATTAGTAAGCAAAAAAGCAAAATATAGATGCTATATTTAAATCTTAACTGCTGCTTGCAACAAGCTAGTGAGTTTTACTGTGAGGGATGGTCAGACACTGAAACAGGTTGCCCAGCGCAGCTGTGAAATCCACATCCTTTAAGATAGTAAGAATGGACAAGCCACTGCATAAACTCATCTACTGAGACCTACTTTGAGGTGACCCAAGGTTCTTCTAGAGATCCTTTCCAGTCTAAGTGAATTTATGGTTCAGTGAGGGAGAAAATTTTAAAATTATAAAGATTGTTTTGAATTTGCTTTATACACCACTTATTTTACAGAGCAAGGAAGGTACTTGAGAGTCAAGAGAATTTAAAACAAAAAAATATATTTTGTATATGCATTTTTAGATCCTCCTGCATGTATTTTGTAGCAGAGTGCGTATTCTATTGCAGAAGAATCGATAATAAAAATCTTAGGCATATTATTGCCTGTTGAGACTATGTACTAGAGAGCTGTTATTACATATTATTCACAAAAATGAAAACATGGGCTTAGGAACAAAAATGGCCCTGAGGTAAAAATACCCTCAGTAAACAGGTACTTTTAATTAGAAACAGCCCTTGAAACAAAACACCTACTAGTAGAATTACTTACTATGAAGGGCTGTAATTTGAGTCACTAGAATTGAAAAGTTATTATAAACAAGTTTGCGACATCCATAGGATTTTAATTTTAGGGGGTAAAAACAAGAATGAGGGTTTGAATTGTTCTTTCAACATTACATGTTTAGTTTCTAGTGGTGGCCAATAACAATAAATCAACTGTTTTATTTCTAAGAATTACACTGTTCACATTTGTTCTTCTTGCAGTAATCGACCAAACTGTCCTGAAGACAATAGGAGAATGCATCCCTCAGAGGAAATTAGTAGAGGAAAAAACAGATTCGCACCATACTCTTCACAAACAATGCACCCATCTTCATCTGTACACCAAGAAGATAGTTCAATAAACTATGAAAGAAAACCTTTTCAAGGTGAAACTCCCAGAAAGATGGAACAGAGAAAAAGATTACCAGTTGTAACAGTTGATTACAATTATGGTCTGCCACTAGACTGTGGACCTGAAGAAGAAGAGAAATCACATTATGATTTACTGCCACGAGACCACTTCAACTGGAACTGAACGAGAAGGACAGTGTTTGCTCAGCTTGCTCAGACTTACTTTTACCCATTTTCCTTTGTATGTGGACCATTTCTTTTTTTTAAACAAATTAGTTAAATGCAAATTTCAGTAATAGAGAACTGGTCTCCATTGTAAGATTAGCTTCTACTGATGTTTGGTTCTTTAAGTTTATTAAGGTGTATTTGTTAAGTGTAGTTGGAGACAAGGTCTCGGTACACGTGGAATTACAGTAGTCCTTCCTTTTAGTGAAGTTGGAACCCTGTACCTTAAAACAAACAACTTTCTCAGTGTTTGTGGTTGTCTTTTGTTTTGCAGTTTTTCAAAATGTATGTGATTTCCAGGTGCAAAAGTCATAATAAAACACTGCATTATCAGGTAGAGTAATTGAAATTATAGGAAAAATACTAAGAAATGGACAAAGCAAAGTTATGTTCAGTTCCTCCTTTCATTTGAAAACAGCAGTTTAAATTATTGCTATCAGTCACTGCAGCATTGGAGTTTAATTCCATATTTTGTGTACCATCAGCTGAACTGACCTAGTTGCACTCTTTTTCACAGCAGAATTTTCCCAGATTGCTAAGAACGTGGAAGTAAATGGAGTTTGAATACTCTAAATGCCAGACTTGCTTTTCAGTAATCTGAATATCCCATCCTGATTGTATCTTTTTTCGTGATCCCACAGGGTATCTATGTTTCAGAATAGCCCACTGCAGGTAAATTTAACCGATTTCTCAGCAACAAATCCGGATGAGGTGGGTCGTGGATCGTCAGCTCACCTCTCTCAACTGGCCAAGGCCACTGGTGCCTATATACTTACACCTCCTTGTTTGTCAGTCAGATCTGTCTTACTCTCCAGCTCTGTTTTTCACTAGTTTCTTCTTACAGCACAGCAGAGCAATGTAATAAAAGAATAACTTCTTCAGGTGAGATCCTTTTAATAGTCATGTGTGGAACAGTCTCCTCTGAACTGCCTCTTCAGTGAGTCTCACAGAGGTAGTGCAACAGTAAGTAATGCACCAACTGCTCCTACTGTGGATAAAAAAATGGGTTCATAGGATGGAAAACAGTATTACTATAATACTTAAGTAAATTTTAAAACTTTCATTTTTCATTATTATTACATTTTAATTATTATTTTAAAAGGCATCTCAATAAATAAGGATAAAGGCAGACCATTTTATTAAGATAATTAAAATGAATGCAAGATAGTTAAGTCATACAGTTAAGACACTCAAAAGCAGCAAAGCATCAAGCAAGAGGGTGTAGGTATACACTGGAAAACTGCAAAAAACCCCTGTGTTCATAGCCAGAACCCACAAAGTTTTTTTGTCTTTTAGCAGCAGCGTTAAACCCAGATTTCTGGTTCTGTACTAAAAAAGAACTAGATTTGAAACATGTGGAATATCTTGCAACTCCTGTTGGTTTTGTAACACAGCAAAAAGTTCTCCAAGTCAAAGGATTCTGTAGATATAAATTCAAACTGCAAATGCTTCATTGCCTGTGCAACTGGTAGAACAACTTTGCCTTTGTTCATTGTACAAAGTAAATAGTTTTCTCGTTTTCACAGCAGCTAGTCAACTGTATTTCCCATTAAGTCTCTGATGGTGAGCTTCATTCATGTGATCTCAGGAATGAAGCTCTGTCTATATAAACTTGTGGAACTGAGCACTAAATGTTAAGAACAGGCATTTGTTCTTTCACTTGCCTTTTTTTTTTCTTAATGAGGAGTGACTTGAGAATCTTTATCTAGGCTTCTTTATTTGGAAGCAAGGAAGATATGCAACATGGGCTACTATATTGCTAGATCCTTTAAAAAAAAATCAGCAAAAACCTCCACCCTTTCTGGTACTCCCCAGCAGGGCCCTAAGAATTAGAGACTGATATTGGAAGCATTTTTAGGGTTTTTTTACACCATGTATGCAGTATTCATAAAGTGAATAAAGAGCAGCAAATATTTGCCCTTCTTATTTTTGTTTTGGGGTTTGTTATTTAGGATTGAAGTGACCCTCCAGTCAATCCTTTGTTACTTGAGACTGGAAAGATGAAAAGCTGATGCACTGGAAAGCTCAGAGCAAGAAGAAAGAAACGTGGCATAAGGAGTTAGGATCAGCACTAGCTATTACTAGCCCCTGTCAGTTCCTGCAGGACCCATGGAGAGTTCAGATGCCAACACTCTGATGGTATTATTCCTGTTATCTGACAAAAGAAATGTCACTTTCATACCTATGTTGGATTTCTCTTTTCAAAGAACATTAATAGACATGTTTCCACAAATGGTTTTGGGATGATTATATGAAAATAGACATAGTTTTGTTTGTATGTTTATTTATGTATTTATTTAGAATTTAGGATAAGGTTTTCCACCCTATTGTTACTAATGAAATTAGGCAGAGCTAAGCCCACATAATACATTACAAACTCCAACTGACATTTATCTCAAATTCCACAGCTGATTCATCACTGTATGTACTATTTAACTGCTAATTGAATCCACATGGTGGAGAATGAAATTAAATGAAATAAAATGTTTTCTTGTTTTGTAAACGAGTATTGTATTACAGTGGCAGCCATAAAAAAAGCCCACAACACTTTCATTTATTTCACAGTTCTACAAAAAGGTCATAAAATCTTGGTCTTTTTTTGTGTATGTTCTTAGCAAACCTAGAAATAGCTGTTGTATCACAGAGCAATAAAAAGCCAGACTTCAATAGACAGTGTTGGTTTCCCACTGCCCTGAGTGTGAAATCTTGAATTAAAAAATAAGTATACAGAAAATCCAGATTTAGCACAAAATTATTTTAAGAAGTTGTAGCATTCTAATATATAAAACTATTGAACTCTTCTGAACTGTCAGAAAACTTCTGTTGCTGTCCTGCAATCATATTTTCATTGGAGGCCAGATTTTTATCAGATGGTGAAGCCTTGGGGTCATCTCGCCCTGTGGTATGATCATCCTGAGTTAGGGAATGTTCTGGTGGTTCCTGGAAAACAAAAAGTTCAGATGAGCTCTGTGCAGGAGGCTGAATCCCAAGAATGGTTTGGGAAAAAGAGAGGTCAGCTCCAACAGAAAACCAGAACACAAGGATATGACTGAATTTATATGTAGAAATCTGCACTGTATGTACAGCTAATTTAGTTTTCTGTGTAGAGAATAAACAGCTATCTAAAAAAGGGCTAGAAAAGGTTTGCATGTGACTCTTCTTTTCTCTCAGCAGGGGCAAAAGGTAAATGACCTACAAGGAACCACAAGTACAATTAAGATCCTTCCCTGTTTATTTGCCTCAGAAGTCACTGCTAGCAAGCTGCAGGCTTTTTTTCTCATGTGCAAAAATGATCAGTGATGTGTTAACACTTCAAATTTGGGATGCACTACTACAACCAGTGTGCCAGGACCAGCGGTTCAATGACCTGAGCAATAGCTTCTGAAGATCAGTTCTTGCCTTAAGACATCTTATGTGAAGCATCCAGAAATGCAGATACCCAAAAATCATTTCTGGCTTAGAGTCTGCTCTGGAAAGAAGGAACGTATCCTCCATCTGGAATTTAGCAAGGGGATATGAATCCCTGGCCACAGTGAAGAGCAGTTTATTTAAAATATGCAAACAGAAAGCAATAGCTTCCATGCTGTTATCAACCACCAGAGCTTGTTTCCTCTCCAGGCTGACTCTTACTTACTCCAGTTGTCAGCAGACCGTGCTTTACTAGCTCCAGTGGACAGCAATTACCAAACCTGCAGATCCCTTTCTTCTTCTTATGGGGACCCAGACAAAACAGATGACAAAAAGGAACCAGGTGAGGAAGCAACTTGTTTCTTTGTTCTCCTGAGATGAGAAAATAATGCAAGGAGAACAGGAAAAGAAATATTTTTAGAAATAAAAAGGAAAGAGAAGGGAAAATGAAAATTAAAATGTCGGGGAGAGGCTTATGAGTGTGAGGGAAGAAATGTGCAAAAGATGCATGTGTAAAAAGCTGGTGAAAGATTACTGAGCATAAAGAGGCCACGTGCTGGAAGAGTTCCTGGCAACTTCTTATCTGGGTCTTCTAAGCTGTGCCTGTGGCTCTGTGTGAGCACCATGCTGATGTAAATAACAGTTATCAAAAAAATACAGGAGCACTCAGACCTCTAATCCTTCAATAAAGTCATATGGGAGCTTAAAACTAATTAAGGCTTCTCCCTAAGCTTTAAATCTAGTCTATGTGTAGTATAATATCCTGAAGATATTCCCTGTTGAATCCAATGAGAATTTCAGATAAGCAAGTAAGAAACTACTCCACAAACCTGTTTCACACATTGAAAACAAGCTTGGTTTTTACTGGGTATCAGGAATCCCATAATTTGAGGAATTTGAGAATAAAATCCAATTTGTTTATTACAGGTACATACCTGTCCTATCTCACACTTTCAGGACAGCATCAAAACACACTATAAGGTTGCTATTACTGTACCCATCACACAAAACTTACAGTTATAAATTAGTTAAAGTGTAACAAACAAATCTCAAGTAATTGCCTCTGTAAGTACAACAAGCAAGCCAATATAGAGTCATACAGAAAGCAGGAGACATTTTATTCCTTTATGAGGAGCACTCAGGACTGAATGTTCCACAAAGGAAGGTGAAAGAGCCCCCAAGACAGATAAACTTGGTAAATTTGACACAGGTAAGGATGTTCCCCATATAGTTCTTCAAAGGACCTCTTCTAACATAAAGAGAGGTTTTTGCTTTCAGTTATACTACCAAACAAAAGTCTATACAGCGAAATTAACCCTTTAAGGAGAAGATAAGAAAGTACAAGCAGTTATTAATATCTGTTAATCACGTCTCAGTCCATCTTTAAGATGCACAAAGTAAATAGAAGAAACAAAGTATAAACTTTACTATATCTGACTGCTAGAGCTGATTGACCCTTGTCTGCACATCCCAAATGAAAAATAGGACCAACACATCATATTGTAGCTATTTTATAGCTATTCTTGTATACAGGGAATGGTAAATTCTGATTTTCACATTACATGTGAAAAATAGGCCTAAAGTATATTCTGAGAAACAGTGTTTGCAAATTAAAAGAAAAACATTAATTGTTTTCTATCATTTAAATACAGTAGTTATAATAAAATAGAGCGAGAGCAAAGAGTATGGCCACCAGACTTGTTTTTAAATCTAATTTAAACTCATTAACTGCAGCAGAACTTGTGATGATGGCCACAGATTAGCTTTCTTTTCTATCTTTGAAAAGCAACAGCTTTTGGAAAGAGCTGGACTAGATGTGAAACCTCTGGCCTTGTTTATTCAGCATTATAGTGTGTTTCTGAATCTTTATGTCCCTGATGACAGAGGTGCTTTTCTATCTATGCTCTTTGTATTCAGTTTGTGCACACTGGAATTATATGCACTTTTTTTTTTTAACTGCACAGGCTAATGTCCCTCTTGCATTAGCTCATGAAAAAAAAAAAAGAGGACAATTAGGCTACTGAAATTAAATAAACAAAAAAAACCCCTTAAGGCCACACAAGCTTACATAATAGAAAAACTTAATAATTTCTTTCTTCATGTTATTTTCATGTTACATTTTTTAAGGGGCATATGTAGAAAGACCTGCAGATTTATAGGGAGAGTTTGACCTCATTATTTCCATTTTTCTTTGTCTCTAACTGTGGCTCATTTTTGCCTGTTACCTTAATCCAAAAAAGCCCACTCAGATACTTGACAGGAGCTTTTCTCCCCTTCAGTCTTCTTTCTGGATTTGAAATACTAAATTCATTTTTACATATGTATGAATATCTGTGTATAAATGTATGTATATGCGCATTTTAAACATATATATAAATTTTTGTATATAAATGGAGATCTCTGCTCTCCTAAACATCAGTGAGAGAGCAGGTATAAAGATGAAATTGTCCATGTGAGTTACTATTGTTAATCTCTGAATACTTCAGAGTTTTTAAGATGGATTTAGTGAATGTACATTTACTTTAATTACTTTCCTGACATAGAAAGTGGTGTAGTTTCTAATAACACCATGCAGAGGAGGGGTCAAAAGAGGGAGGATTTAAGTGTAAACATAAAAGTTTGTTTGGAAAAAAGAACAACTGTATGAAGTGGATAGATAATACCATTTCCTAAAAAACATGCCACAGGAACAATAAACTACTCAAACTGCAAAATATTTATTTAAATTAGGAGCCTGGATAACAGCTAGACAAAACTAAGAAACTTTCAGGTTTTTACACATAGAGAGTACCCAAAGACTATCAGTAATTTAAGTCTTCATCTGCTGTAAAATAGGGTGGAAAGTAAAGCTAAGTTAAAAAATGAGAAGTTCAGGATCATGGAACAAAATGCTGAAGAAATTACAGACCAGGGCTAACAAAACCAAGGTGGTTGTACAACCTTGTACAACAAGGTTGATCAGTTGTACAGAATATCTGTTTAAAATGGAAATGGGCAAGAAGCAACACTTCTGAACAAGTCCATGCCATCTCGTGAGATAAAATCCCTGGGAACAGAAAATCACAAAAGGGAATCACAAGGTTTTTTTCTCTCTATTTATCACATCAGGAGCCTCTCATTCAGGAAAATTGTCCCGAATTTACAATGTTAAATATGATCAGAGGTAATGAAATCTAATGAGATAATTACACAGTCCTGGTGACATTTGGAACCTTTTAGATGTTGGTGATTTTCACTAACTGATGGTTATTACAATCCTGTTTGATGTTGAGAAATGGGAGCCCATCAAATTTTTTTCACAAATGTTGCTGATTCGTGTTGTGAGTGGAAGTGGCTTTGCCCTGATTTGGCTCTCAGAATTCAGCATTTCATTGGTATCTCTGAGGTGTTTTCGGACTACAAGAGCTGTCAGTCAGAATCCAGCCTCCAGCCACCATCACTTACTGTGAAGAACTCAAAAGGAAGGCCATGTACAAGTTGCCATTTTTTAACTGGCTTTCAAGAAGGTTATGCAGCTAGTAAAAAATCTCCGTGGAGTAAAAATAAGACCATTAAATTCTGAGAGTTGGCATGGAAACTAGTGAAGCTTAGATGATAAGAAAATAAATACACCTTTAAATAAAAATTAAGCTGAATAGCAACAAAAAGTATCAATTAGCAAGAAACAAGAGATTATTCAAGAAAAAAATAAATCCTTCAGCAATCAGAAATCTGCTTTTAGTGACACCACTAAAGAGCGGTCTAACCTACAGGGATAAAATCTCAAATAAAAACAAGAAAGATTAAATAATACTTGAAGAAGAAACAGTTAAATATATAAAAATAAATAAGAATTTTAAAGTATGTTAGAAATAGTCTACAAGGTAGCTGGTTAATTTGCAGATCTTAGAACACAAAGCACCATTAAGAAACACATGTTGCAAAGAACCTGCACAATTTACCTGCATAAAATCATAAGACTTCCAAGGGAATTCAGAAATCAAATAAGATAGCCACTCAAATGTGTGCAAATTATTATGAAAATAATCTTTACCAGACTAGAAGGCATCGGATGTTATACCTACCACTACAGAGAGGCTGCTGGGATCCTAAGCAAAACAAATCTAAAAACCTTCAGAACAAAAAAAACTAACTGGAAAAACAAAAATTGAAGACTAGAACATGTAGAAGATTATGTTATGTCAGGCCTAATCACAAGGGATTCCACCTGTGCCTCTGTCATCTGCTATTTGCACAGCTGTAGCACTTGGGGACTGCACCATTTTTTTCCCTGGGCTCCAGCAGCAGACAGAGCACATACGAAAGCTGCAGTCACTATGAATCTGCAGACTAAGCAACAAGAGTTCACAGGTGAACACAGTTGGTAGGAGGAGGAAAACAAAAACATTTGAGATGAATGCAGGAAGTACTGATCATAACATACCAACTGAAATTATTTATCTAATATAGGAACAGGTCTGAGAGAGTACGCTGGCACAGAACAGATCTGCGGGGGAGATTCTTTTAACAGAAGAAGAAAAAAGAAGAAAATACATGGCTTCTCCTTGAAAAATGGGGCAAAAAACAAATATGCAAAAAGAATTGATATGACTTACAGAGCAGGTGAACAGATGCATGGGCAAAGAATTGGTTTTCATAGGGTGCAGGAAAAGGATTGAGCAGAAGATATGGGTGAATAGTTAAGTAACAACACGCTTTACATAAATGTCACATCAAAATACAAAAATATGTGGTGTGAAACTTGAATGAATTGTGTTTCAGTCCAGAATGCCTACTATTATGTAAATAACAGATCATTCTTTCTGTCTTTTGCAGATTGTTTTGCTGGAACTGCAGTTTATCATAATTCCTGCAAGTACCCAGTGCCTAAGACCCACCACCAATATTTTCCCCACACTTATTTTTATCAGGTAGGACAACCTCTATGGAGTTGTTCAAAACAAATTTATTGCATGTTTGATGTGCCCTCTGCCTTGACTGCTATTAAAGGAATGCACAAAATATTTTTAAGGAACCTAAGAGGAAATAGAGTGTTAGAATTGGAAATAACACCTGAGGATCATTTCAATAATGCCCACAGCAGGACAGGATTGCTACTGATACCTGGCTAAACAAACATGGAAATATTATCAGGGATGTTTGCTATACATCCATGTCAACAGCACTGAATAGGCAAGAAAAATATCTCCACTCTCAGCCTGCTCCCTACCCCAATTCCCTGTTGTTCCTCACTATCACATGGCGAAATAGCAGGCACCCCATCCTGTGGAAACATGTAGGCACATGGGACAGGAGTAGGCATATGCCTCGGATCATGGCCAGGGACCTAGGCAGAGACACCTGCAACCCATGAGGGCACAGGATGGCAGAAAGGAAGGTGTGCACAGTTTTTGGAGTACTTTGGTAAGAGGTTCCTGGCCTCCAGCTCAGCCCACTGACTTTTCATGTGTATTCTGCTACAGGAGGCACATTGAGCTGTCTGAAGGTAGTTATTGCATCAGAGCCATGACAGGGAAAAGGCGTTATCTGGGTCACTGGGTCTAGCACTGTGACAAAAACTATGTCTACCACTGAAAAATGAATCTGTGGTTTGCTCTGGCCACGTTCTGTGCTGCAGAGGCCTCGGGCTGACTCACATTGCCGGTGTTTGGGGCCACTGTAATGCCAGCTCCCAGTCACCACAGAGCTCCCACTCAACGACAGGAGAGGGGACAGTCACCTGGAAAGTCACCTGGGACAAACTTTATGTAGGACTGAAGTATGGCGTGCACCTGCATGGATAAAAACAGATTGAAGTGACACTGTACCAGTGTCTTGTTTATAGAACTGTAAAAAGACAGTGATCACGCAGATGGCATTAGTATGTCTGTTGGAAATTCTGTGTTAGTGGGGAAGGAATGAGCCAACCCATACATGAAGAGTTAACTACCCCGGTGAAAGGGAGATCATCCAGAAAGGCTGGGGCAGCAGAAATCCCGATAGAAAGGTTGGGCATGAAACACACACCTCAATGGGCTTCAGAAGAAAACTTTTATCACACAGCATTATGGAAGTTCACATGTTTATTCAAGTTTATGCCACCACTTACAGGAAAGAAAAACCTATTATTGTGTTTCCAGCTTATCACATGAAAGGTTACATACGTCAGCTAACTTGATGTCCCCGTCTGGGACCATTAATTCAACGGATTAATCGAAGTCTAATTTCTTAAACTGGATCTGATGGAAGCTGATAGCACGCACTTGGAAAGCCTGGTTTTTCCCGGAGCTCAGGGGCACTGCTGGGCGGGATCCCGGGGATCCCGCAGCACCGCCTGGAGCCCGCTGGACCGGGAGGACAGGCAGCTGTCCCGGCAGGGACACGGCAGGAAGCGGAAAGGAACGCGGCCGTCCGCAGAGGCGCCGTAGCTGGGCCGGGCCATGTGCCCCCTCGGTGCCCGGGGTGGCTGGTGCTGGTTAATACAGCCCTGGGCATTCACCAGCCCCGCACTGTGGGGGCTCCGGGATAGCGCCCGCCCACAAGCCTTGCGAGTCCGCCCGACTCGACCCGGGAGCGGCGCGGGGCACGCCGGGAGTTGTAGTTCCCGTGGGCCAAGCGTTCGCGCCGCAGCACCGGGCATGGCCGAGGGGCGGCGGACCTCGGCAATGGCGGGGGTGCTCCGCGAGCTCGCCGAGCACTCGGCCGCCCTCCCCCGCCTGGGAGGGGAGAAGTGCCACGATCCGGTGCACTGGGAAGAAACGCTCGTACTCTGCGTTCTAGTGCCTTTGTTCTCCACTCTGGGTGGGGGACTGGGGCACTATCTTTTGAGGCCCCCCCGCCGCGCAGATGGCACGCTCCGGCGGCGGCGGGCGCCCCCCCAGCCGGCCCGGCGGCTCCATGGCCGGTCCTGCTCAGTGCGGGCGCTGCGCGCGCCCGCCCTCCTCGCTCTTAGAAGCGCCCCCGCCATTGGCTGCGGCCGGGCGCCCTTGCCAATCAGGAAGCGGCTCTCATGGAGGAAGGGAATAAATACAAGATGGCTGCTCATATAAAACCAGGCATTGGGCTTCGCCCCGGCGATGGGGGAATCGAGGCTTTAACCGGCGCTCCGAGGGTCCCGCGTCGCTCCCGCCCGCTCTGCCGCCGCCCCGCCCGGGGGAGCGACACTCCAGCCGCCGCCGGCCACTGCCGCGCTCAGCCGCTGCCCGCGGATCGCCGGCGGGGCCGAGGCCGGGTGCGGCGCCCCAGAGGCCCCAGCGAGGCCTTGCGCCCTCCGCCCCGGCAGCGCCCCGGCCCCCGTGCCCGCCGTCCCGCCGCCCGCCGCCAGCCAGGCCCGGCCCCGGGCGGCCATGGCCGTTTCCAGGTCGGTGGGAGTAGGGAGGGATGGGGGGAGGAGGCCCGTCGGCGGCGGCCTGGAGCTCCCGGCCCTCGGTGCGGCCTGGCGCCGGGGGTGCGGCGGGAGGAGGGGGGCCCGCCTTCCACCCCCTTTCGCCTTGGGAGCCCGCAGAGGCCTCGCCGGAGCCGCCCCGCTGGGCTCGGGGGGTGGCTGCGTGCTCCGGCGCCTGGATGTGCTGCCTGGCCTGGGGTGACTCCTTTTCCCCCCTCCCTTCCCCGGGCTGCAGGGGCTCTGCCTGGGGCGTCCCGGGCTTCCTCCTGCATTGGACACCTTTTTTTTGGCCAGTCCTTCCCAGGGTGGTTAAACTGCTAGGAAATAGGCGATTACGATATTGAGTCTCAAAAACTGGCAAGAAACCGTTTTTGCCTTTCAGAGCCCTTAGTTGTAAAGTAACCAAAATAAAATAGACTTTCATGGAGAAAAGTGATTAGTGTGTTCTGGCTCTGCCTCAAGATGTTGGGCAGTATCTGCTTACACACATGTGCTCTGGGGTGTGCCAGCGTTTAAAGCATTCACAGATACAGAGGTATGTCTTAACAGAGCTGTTTTATAAAAAACGCTGAGCACAAATTCCTGCCTTTTTTTCTTTTTTTTTTTTTTTTTTGTGTGTGTGTGTATGTGAAATGGGCGCGTTAAGCTTCCTAACAGGATAGTTGAAAGGAAACTATAAATCCAAATTAAGCTTGTGATAGATTAGCTCCAAGTCACGTGTTGGTAGTATCTCTGTACTTCCAAAGTGCTATCACAAAAGTAAATTCTGTTTCTGAAGCTGCGTGTGAATAAGTTTACAATTCTGTGTGCACATTTATAATGGAAATCCATTCTTCGTCAAAATTTGTGGCAGCAATACACCTTTTATGACTTCTAGTGGCAGGTGTTTTATTTTGAGCATTATAGTTTCTAGAAAGTATCCCTTTGTTTTAGTCTATTATTTTTTTAATGAACTTGTTACACACTTGTTGGGATTTTTTTCTCCCTCCCTCCCACCCCCCCAAATCTGTCCATAAGAATGTGGAAATAGTAAGGACTGCTGTTATAAGACTACTGTGTATGTTAAAGTCATCATGTAAAATAGAGTAGTATTTCAATTACATTGGGACTGGTCAGTCTGCTTAAATAACTTTGCTAATGTACATATGATATGGGGGCTAAATGGAATATCAAATGGAGCTTTTCAGGTATATGCTGAGGCTGTGTCTGTTGGAAAGGCTGATTTCTGTTTCAGTTACGGAAAGGTTGCTTTAGTGGAAAGCAGCAGTGCTCTGTGCAGAGATGTAGTTAGCACCTGTTCGGGAACTCAAAGGACAATTCTGATTTAGATTTGGCTCAGTGTGGAGCACTAAAGAAGTTGGTGTTAATAATAGTGTGATATTGCTTCAGAGTACAGTTTTAAAATCCAAATATTACACAAGTTGAACATAAAGTATAGAACTTCAGTAAAGGTGCTGTAATACTGGTGAGTTGGTATAGAATTGTTTCACTTTCTCAGAAGTACACATTTTGGAGTGCTGTAACATCTTGATGATTCCTGGTGAACACCACAGTTTCTGTAATTGTAAGAAGGGATAATGTGTAGATTTGCCTTTGTGTGTGGTTTTAACAGATACAGCAAAGCCCGTCTGTGTCCCTTTGAAGCTACACAGCAACTCCTGATAAATGGACCTTTCTGCAGCGGGACCATGGGAACACTGATACAGTATCACGGCTGCTTTTGTAAATAAAAGAAATTGTCTTCACCTTTTACTTCAGAACACTGAACTTCAAAGGTCCTTTCCTTTCAGGCTACACATAATTGTGTACTTATGTGTATATAGCCATGTAACTATATTTCTGTAAAGGGTGTAGGTGGTCCAGCTTCTTTACCAATTCCATTTACTTGTAGAGATCTGCACTTTTGCTCTAGGTAGTTAGTTATTTTTTTTTTGATGGACCAACATAATACTTCATTGTTGATGACTAACTGTGCAAGTTTGGAGAGTGAGGAAGAAGCTGATTCAATTTCATTGGGGGTAGTTCTATTTTGGAGCCATATTTTAAAAATAAGGTTTTCTTGGAGGTGGGGGTCAGGATAGTTTTACATTGACAAAACAGTAAATTATCAAGTGGTTGTTTTCCCAGAAAAGTTCAAAAGGCTCAAAATTAGATTGAGAATCAATTGTGTAATTAGTTGTAACCTGTTGACAGAAAAGTCTCATATTTCATTCTGCATTATATGTATACATGCTTGTTTGATCAGATTCTGCTGTTACGTGGACTGAAGATCTGCTTCTGTTTAAAATAGACCCAAAAGCAGAACCATAGATACTTCATGCCACAAGATGTTGCAGAATAGTTACATTGTATATGTTTATCTTTTTGGTAATTTTATCCTGAAAAGACTAATGAATGCCATCCTTCAGGAGTAGGGATAGGTGGGTAGGAAGGTTGATGTTCCTTCTGTGAAGGTGCAAGCTAATTTGGTAGGCCTTAGCTTCTGTTTCCAGTCTTAAAAGTATAGATGAAGTAGTATTAATGTTTGCATAGCTAATAAAAAAAAAA